GGGGGGGGGGGGGGGGGGGGGGGGGGGGGGGGGGGGGGGGGGGGGGGGGGGGGGGGGGGGGGGGGGGGGGGGGGGAATGGGGGGGGGGGGAGTCCAACCCGGGTGGCACTTTTGTTTATCTGGAACAGTGGAATTTTCGGTCAACTGCAAATTATTTTTTTTGGGTTGGGGAGTTGTTAAAAAAAGAATGGGGAGGTAAACATTATGGCACCCATTGCTTAGTACAATATGAAACACAAATTATTTTGCTGCCCAAAGGAGAAACTCTGAAGGCCGCAAAGGACCACAGGCTGAGTTTGAGACCACTGATTTCAAATCTCCATACCGCAGTAATAAAATACTCAACACTATTACAACATTTATTTGATTAGATACAGCGGCATACCTTGAATAAATACTCCCACCCCCACCCCGGTGGGAGACTCTAAAATGTGCCCCAACCCACATACTCATACAATTTGTAATTATGGCCATTTTCATATTTCTGACTAAAATAAATAGGGCTCTCCTCCACAGGAACCAGCAGCCGCGGAACCGGAAGCTGCAGCTGAAAATGAAGATGGCGGGGGAGAAGAAGGGGGTGCTGCTGAAGATGGAAAAGGTAATGTCAAATTTCAAAATGTGTATTACTGTTTGAACCTCCCACTTGCACCCACAATGGAATCATGCTGATTATATCTACAATTGGTTATTTGTCATTTAAAGCAGGCCTGCACAACTCAAAATTTAAGGCGGGCCGTAATACGTTTTGAAAAACTTGTGCGGGCCAAAATAAAATATGACAGAAATTGTGCGGGTTACATGAAAATCAGACAGGGGGGGGGGGGGAGATTTTAGGAAAATGAGAATAAAGAATATTTCGTTACTTCGCGGGCCGTAAAAAGTGGTTGCTGGTTGGCGCATGCGGGCCGTATGTTGTGCAGGCCTGATTTCAAGTATAAATTAAACTTAAATGTGGCTCCATTAAAAGAAAGAAAATATGTAAAACATATGTCAAAGCCCATTTAATCAGCATGAGATAGATGGGGCGGGAGAGAGAAAGAGAGACGGGGGGGGGGGTGCGTGGCATGAATAACAAGAGTTCTAAGATTTGTTACAATTATTATAAATATGAAGACGGTGGTGCTTCACGGATGGGATACCCTAGACTTTGCCTCTTGACGTTATTAGAAATAAATACATCATTTATAGATACCATTGACGTTAAGGGAATAGATATTCATTTATATTATATATGTGCCTGCATCATTTAAGCAAGTTACAACTCTGCCGATCAAATCTTTTATTGATTTATTCTAATACCGCAGATCACCACCACGATGAAGGATAAGTCACCCGCTCAGAAGTAACCTCCCCAATGTACGTCCTCATCTCCGCGTTAAAATCGAAGCCTCTTAGAATCAGATCCAGAAAACTTCCCTTAGAATCGCCACCCAGCACTTCAGACCATACCAGCCCATCCACGTCAAGACCGGAAGTTCATCATTTCTTCTGCCCAAAGGATTCTTACACTTACAACAAAAGCTTTTGTCTCATCAAACGAAAATCAGCAACAACATCGTCGTGTTTCATTGGAGAAAAAAAAGAGGGGTGGGGGGGGGGGTGACATCATTATATAATCAGAACTTGAAAGAACATCTTCCAGCCTACGAATATTTGAAAAAAAAGGAGAAAGAAATAAGGAAATTAGACAAATAAAAATTAGAACAGTAAAGGCTATTTTACGTTTAGAGAAGAAATATTTCAACCAAGTAGAACTGGATACTATGTAATTTTAATTTAAAAACACAATGTTCTGATTGGTCACGCATGTTTTTTCACGTAGGGAATGATTGAAGGGTGTACGATTTTACCATCTTTGAACGCTCAATCATGTAAATTGCTATTAACATTAAAAAATTTCCGTAATATAACCTGTTTCTGAAGCGTTGGAAATTGATGTACCATTCCTTTTCAAATGTTTAACCTTTTCCCTTTACAACTCTTTTTGTTTTCTTTGTTTGTTTATAATTTTAATTATTATTTGAGCGGTGGGAGTAGGGTGGAGATGTTTGACCGTAGTATCAAGAGCCAAATCCTAAAAAGAGAATAGCGTAATGACTTTGGTAAAACAAAAAACAATGCCTAAAAGTGATTTCTTTGAATGGGGTGACTGGATGGCAGTGCGGTCAAGTGTGTCAATATGGCTTACAACATAGAGACACACAAAACGGCCAGGGCCGGCCTTGGGCCACTGCAACCTATGCGGCCGCAATGGGCCCCGCACTTTATTTTCTGATACAAAATCTTAATTTTTCACTTATGATCCTTAGCCCTACCCACACTGGGCCCCGCAATTGTTAGGGCCGGGCCTGAAAACGGCTAAGGCACTCCGAGTGAACTGAACTTGGATACTGGCCCATCTAAGAGGTTGCATTGCAAACCTCCGCTGCCTTGCAACTACAAACCCATGGTTAGGACTAAGGGGGAAAAAAAAGGGGGGGGGGCGGTATAACATTGACTCGTGAAAATTTCCGGGGGCGGGATTCATTTTAATGTTCTCTTGGGTTCACCAATGACGTGGAGTTGGGGGGAGGGGATCTATATCAACCTTGATGCGGGATAATTGAGGGTAGAGGAGTATTCAGGGGGCAGGGTGACTACACAGTACTTAAGAGCCATGTAGTTATAATAACAAAAATAATGACTAATTAAAAAGTAGTGCTTTAGGGTTTCTTTTACTCAGATCTGCATAATTTAGATAATGATATCAAACTAAAATCTAATTTATCGTTAAAAAAAAAAATAACTTAAAGTTGTTTTTGTAAATTTAAATAAAATATAATGTTTGTTAACTTTAAACTTGCTTTAAAAAAACAGGTTATCAATTTAAACAAAATACATGCATAATCTTTTTTTTTTTCTTCTTCATAATACTTTTAAGTCAGTTAAATAGATATTAACAGAAATGGACACTATATTTAAACGTAACAAATTAAATTTTAGTAAAGGAATGAGATTCACAGACACAAATACATACATTTTGATATTTATTGCTAGTGTAAAAAAAATAATAATAATTAAAGTCACTAAATTGTCTTCATAAAAAGTCAAAATTTACTCAACAATAAAATGTTTATTATCTAATACCAGATTTACTTTTTTTTAAAACACAGATCAAGAGAATAATCGGTTCAATAAACATGGATAAAAATCATGTTTAGTAAATATTTTACTATGTAGAGCATACATTTTTTCATTGTTCTGTTATGAGGTGATGAAAAAATATAATAAATTTCCCAATAAAATTGTAGGCTTATAACTAAGCAACTTGTAAAAAATACTTCTTCTTCTTCTATATATTAAGGGTCCACGATCAATTTATGGATCATTTCGGATCCTATGCATTTATAGGGGATTTGCAATGTTTCTGTGCTTGGTATTGGTGAGGCATTCAGCTAAAACATCAGCTTTATTTTTAATTTTATTTTGATTTTCAAGCTTCCACTCATCTTTTCTGAATATTTCTTGCAAAGACAATTAACTTTCACTACAGCTTATTTTTTATAAAAAAGACAACGTTATGCAAAAAAAACATCATTATTCATCTGAAGAATGACATAATTTTGAAAAGAGTTGCACAAAATAATCATCTTTCCAGATGATTAGACTTGACTTCTGATATAACACACCATATGTATTTTTTGCAAGGGTTTTATGAGACACAAATTATGGCTATCCACTACAAGTTATGATAACAAAATACAAGTTGATAATGTTTATGTCCAAGTATGTCAGATAATCAATTGAAAAAAAAAAAAAGAGTTTTCCTCTAATACCTTGAATGTAATGAAATCAATATTGCAACAGCAACCCAAAAAAAAAAAAAAATCCAATAATTCTATAAAAAAAAAAAAGTTGATAATGTTTATGTCCAAGTATGTCAAATAATAAATTGAAAAAAAAAAAAAGAGTTTTCCTCTAATACCTTGAATGTAATGAAATCAATATTGCAACAGCAACCCAAAAAAAAAAAAAATCCAATAATTCTATGACAAGATAAGTTTTCCAATTTTAAAGCCAATACTTTTTTATAAATGCTTTGCTTTGACCATTTGTAGAGACTGGTCACTTTTTCCTTACAAATCCGAACAGCATTCTTTTCTTTGTTAATTACATCTATCAATAGAAATGTAGAAAATTATTTTTTTTCTTCTCATTCCATCAAAACCAGCTCCAGTTTGAATTGTCCCGATGCATATCCAACCCCCCAATAAAGACAATTATTTTCATCAGATGTAAAAACCAACCTTTAACATTGGAAAAGCTTTTAAATCTTTCTTTGCCACACATACCATTTTCATAAAAAGCTTAACATACAATACAGAATTATAATGATATAATGCATATTTTTTATTTTTACTATGAAAAAAAACATGATTATAATTAAGGATTCCGACATCAAGTACTGACTATATAATTGACTGTCATTACTGCCAAGTAAATTTTCTCAGTCAGCCAAAAAAATGTACTTCATGATAATTATTTCAGATTTTAAAAAAACTCTTTAAATAGTCATATATTCCAATGTAAAAAAACAAACATAATTGTATGCTTTTTTTAATGGAAACCATACAGTATCATTATTTAATTGTATTATATTCATGCAAAATTACATCAAAATAAAACTATACTTTTTTACAAGAAGGCCTATGTACACTCTAAAACATGGTCTTAAATTTCAGAACCTCTTACTCTCTTAACCAACGGTTTTAAAAAAATTATCTAAGGCTATAAAAGATAACTCATGCTTAGAATTCTACTTTATTTCACAAATTATATTGTCTTTAATTACAATTTTTCAGGATAGATGCTTACTAAAACATTGTTGCAGGATACGATTCACTTGATTTTTAAAATAAAGTCCACTCCAAATCCACTGCGTAGTAAAAATGCTTTGAGAAATGCCAACGAGTTGTAATATTAATTATGAAAATATATTATGCAATAACACATGAATGGAATAGACCAGAAGATTGGAAACCTACTTGAACTTCAGTATTACCGGCTGGTGTGGGAATTCCTCGTCTGACATCAAACACTAAATAGATTAATCAAGAAAGCTAGTAAAATATCATACTAACTAAGCATCCTTCACTTGAAGAACTATTTGAAGAAAAATGCTATTGTAAAACTAAACAAATTTTGAATGATACATCCCACCCTCTTCATCTCAGATATCTAAGAAAAGCTCGATCAGGACAAATTCTTTCTCTTAAAAATAGGACCGAAAGATATCAAAATTCCCCAGTCTCTACTTATTTTCCACCCTACTCCCCCAGCAGTTACCAAATCTAAATGATCACTAATCAAGTCATTATTGAATAAGGGAGTTTATTGATGGTTGATTTCTACACTAAAGAAATGCTTTAGATGTCTTGTTTCAATTGGTATGATTGAAAAATTTTGTCTTGGTTAAAATAAATTAAATATTTAATTATTTATGTGCTAAAATGAATATGCACATTTTAATCAAAAAACATTTCCATTTATATGGATCAATAAAAAGAATCTTATCTTATCTTAAATTTGAAAAGATTTTCTTAATGTTTTCATAGCATTTTACCAAGGATTTCTTCCCTAATTCAAAAATGGTCCCCACCATAAATTATTCTGGATACTGTATTTATAATTTCAGATGTTTTTAAGCAGTAACTCAGTCAGTTTATCCAAATGATTTATATCAGGGGGAGTAAGAACCTGAATCGAATATTAAAACGCTACCTATTAAAAATTCGTATACAGGCAATACCCTCAAGTCCCACAACTGATTTCATGTTTAGGCTAGGCTTTATAAAGTGACCAAGGATTTGTAAAAAGCAGGCCTGTAACAACATGTTCCATAATAACATCTTGAAAATGCATGGATTCAATGTAAGGTATCTAAAGAACCTCTCAAATAAAATACTAAAGCTAAGACAAATTATATAGAAATGAAAATGCTTTGAGATATCATATTCTAACAAGCTAACAAGGTGTGAAACTTTGCCCCATTGGCATAAATTACCATAACAATATCATATCAGATGTACGGCAATAAAAGAGTGACTGAATATTTGTATGGCTTATGAAAATAAAATTATTATTGCATCTTTTCCCTCCTTTGTTGAACTATGAAAATAGCTTATCATATTGTAAAAAATCAAAATGAGACAAAATAAATACATAAAATCTTGAACACAATTTGGAGCGAATGTCTAATATTTTAAATATGTATTTAAATTTCTTTTTAACTGTAGTGTGCACTTCTTGCCATAGAATGTGTACAAGTATTGGTTTTAAAACAAATTTTTCCAACTTTAAAACAATTGAATCAGCATTTAAAAATTACAATCATAATGTGAATTTTAATGACAACAAAAGGCATCACAAAATAGACAAAATTAAACAGTCATTTTCTATTGATTGCAAACCTACTCAGTACTTTTAAAGTGGTCTATGAGTTGACATGAAATTCTTTATAATGCGTCCCAGGTGAGTTTTAAACCATTCTTTGCGATGGCTTTACTTTTTAAACTTTTGACTTCACCTTGAAATTAATTAATTTCTTTAAAATAGCAGAATGAATATTTTCTAAAAACATTCTGTGCATTTATTGAACTATTTTTCTGAGAAAAAAATCTTCTTTTAAAAGTTTTTTTTTGGGAGGGTCAATTTTAACATTTGAATATCTTTCTCAGGGAAAAAAAAACATACAAATATTTTTTTTCGTATTGCGGCTCATGGATAACAAGGTAATTTGAAAATATTATCAAAATTGCACTGAGTATACAAAGTATACAAAAAAAGTTGAACAAAATTAACTATTCATTCAGATAGAGTATAATGTAATAATGAGGTAATTAACTTGAATGAATATCTTTAATATAATAATACTTTCATGAGGACTAAATGTTAAAGTTAAATAAATTATGAGATTTTTTTTTTAACTCAAGATCAAGAAGAAATATGACACAATAACTATGTTTAAATGTTTAACAAGAATAAATAAGATGAACACATTTAAATGACAAAACTTTTTCTATTATCTACATCACAAACATTTATAAACAGTTATTTGGAGATGTCTCAGCTACACTACAGAAGTTTACACATTATCAATTTATATTTTGTATTTAGTTAAAGCAGTTTTTAATACATGCATTGCTGCTGAAACACCCGTAACCGCCAAGTGATGCTATCAGTTCATTTCCTGACATTCAAAAGCTGTAGGAGTCTTGAGTTGGGCTATATAAGGCTTGAAATGGATCATTCTGACCTTGCCTTGAAATAAAGGTAAAAAAAAAAAAGGAAAACTTGGTAACAGTTGTAAATTCTGGCAAATATTCAGAGCCCGAGTGTGTGTGTGTGTGGTGGAGTGAGGGGAGGGGGTGGCACTGGGTACCCAAAAATGAAATGGGAATTGTAAAGGAATAATCCAGAGTATGACTCCTTTGAAATTAAGCCGTTTTTGTCACTTTGACAAAAAAATAGCCAGATAGCCTAGATTTCATAACAATTGAAAAGAAATGTAAGAAATGATGATAAAAAAAGTAAACAGTTATTTCAGTAATTATTTTTTGGCTCACATGAAAGAGAGTGGTTTACCTGTAATTTCAAACTGCTTTTTAACTGAGTAGCGTCCCATTTATTATCACAAAGCAAATAAATGATTCAAAATGACTCAACGACTCATAATATTGTTCAAAGGATAAATAGAATGATTTTGTATTAGCTTATAAGAAAAATAACAAAAAGTTTTGACCATAAACAAAATAAAAATAATCTTAACCTCTATCAAAATTCTCAACATTCAGTCCCTGTGATGCACTATCTGCCGTATTTAATAAGCATTATTTTGCCACATAATGAGCAAAGAGGTATTTCAAATCAAATTTTTTAAATAAAAATGTTTTAAGCTTACCTGAATATTCTTAGAATTCTCTGTCTTCTTTGGTATTTTTTCCACATATAAAATGCAACAACTCCACAAATAATCAGGCCCACAATGGCAAATGAAATAGCTATAGGCCACTCTATTGCATCATAACTAGAAGTACTGACATACGACGTAACAGCATTTTTGTCAAGATAAGCAGTCTGGTTGGTATTGAAATGCTTGGTAACACACACTGAACCTATTTTTGTTAAAAATGATATTAGAATGTATTGCTTTGATCAAAACTCAGTCTATAATTACACATTTTATTTTATTCTAAGCCCATTGCACTTCTATTCAATGTATAGGTTTTTTTATGTTTCTTTTTTGTTATAAAACCAACTTAATCATGCTACAAATTCTGTTTTATTTTAAAATATTTTTTCTTCATTCACTTTGAAAATTCTTTAAATATTTTAGCCATCAACCTTCAAAATGCAAAAGAAAAAACACACTGTAGTGATAGCTGTTTTAAGTTTAAAATAAAAGATTTAAATTATTTAAGATAACTTTTTTGTTATTTTTTTTAAATCAAAGAAGGAATAAAAATTACATTTTAAACGTAGCCTATTATTGGATTAACTGATATTTTAAAGGTATCTCACCTGATATGAAAGAAATGTCTTTAGTCTTAAGAGAACTGTCACACACCATAAACACTGAGTAGTTAAAGCCTTGGCTCAAATTAAATAAACTGAAAGTGTGGAGATTAGGATCAGGAAATACATCTATTATCTGTGATCCTTGATGCCCAGTAATTGTGTATGTCAGTTCACATTTTGATAAAGACAAATCAACTGCTGCATTTGTATCTGTTGGAAACCATTCTAATGTAGCATCTCCATCACAAGCTCTGACAAGTCTCAATTGAATTGGGGCCAACAAAGGTGGAGTAGTAAAAAATATAGCAGAACCTTTGAGAAGAAAAAATTGAAATTGAATGCATAAGACAGAGACAAGAAAGGATTTTTTATTGCATCGCTGCTCAACTGACTAGGCCTAATGAACTACAAGTAAAATAGTAATAACTTGAAGAAAGTTTTGTGAAAAGTTAAAAATATAGCCTGAATATAAAATATAAGGCTAATGTGAAGAGATAGCACCCTGACGTCATTGGCGTGTTTTATACCTGGTTCAGATAGGGTCAAAACCCAGGTTAGGGATAAGTTTACGGTTCAGGTTAGGTTTAGGGATATTTTTAGGGTTCACTTCAGGTTAGGTTTAGGGATAGATTTAGGACATAACTTCACGGCCATGGTAAAAAAAAATACATTTACATGGTGCTATCTCTTCACATTTACCAAGTATAATAATCATTAAATTACAATACTATGATAGTGATAGTATTAGGCTTAGCCGCTTAGGCCTATAGTTATAGTATAGTTAAATAGTTAAATTAATTAAACACAAATTGTAATTGTATGTTCTTTATTGATTAATGATGTTGAGATAGATTTTGCTGGATGTCTGCCCATGAAGAATGGAGAAGAAACGCCTTAAGTCTAGAGCCATAGAATTTTTCTTTTAGTTAATTATAACGGATTTTAAATTATTTGAACTAAGTACAAACTTGTCAAACCAACCTTCAGCAGTAGTGGTTTGCGATAGGAGGATGGTTTCCAATGTAAACAAAGCAAGGAATTGAGATGCGGCTAAAGTTGAAAAAGATGTTAAGATGATCTCCCGAAGATCCATGCCAAACACTAGTTGGTGTCACGGGGTGTTCTTACACATCAGTGTCATATACAGTAGTCATTTGTATTCTTTAATTTTGTTATTGCCCATATTCCATATTGCAGGGATGGTAACCATTATTGTGCGCTGCAATGATGGGTTTCTAAATATAAATTCGCCTTTTAATTTACTTTAATTTTTGTCACGGTCATGTAAAATTAGGGCCTACAATACTAAAAAAATCTTTTATTTAGCCTATTTAATAATATACATATTTAATATTTCATTAAAATTTTTAACTTTTTTATTTCAAAGATAGATGAAAATATGATATTCCTGAACTTTATTAATTCGAATTATTAATTTATAAAATTCTTTATTCAACACTCTTTTGTTAGGAGTAAAGAAATAGGTTGTTTCATTTCCGTTGACAGGTCGTTGCTTGCTGTCAACAAAAGTTTATTGAAAAATTCAAATGAAAGATTTGAATCTACCGTTTTAAAAAAATCTTGGCAGGTTACGTACATTAATTTAGTTATTACGCAGCATAGCTTGATTTACTTTAACATAATCTAATAATAAAAATACTTATTTTACCACTAACTAATGAATTAATAAAAAAAATTAATAGGACCTAGAGTAGTGCCTAGTGCCAGGCCTAGAGAGTTCTTGAGTTTGAGTACCTAGGCTAGAGTTAGAGGAGTAGTATATTTATATAAATAGTTAAGTTAGCAGGAAAGTAGCAGAATCAAATCAACCAATTACCCATTCAATCAATCAGATTGATTCAAATCCTATAAATGAAAAAAAAAAATTTAAACTAATTTACTGAATTAATTTCAATCATAAATCTACCCAAATTCAAATAGCCTACTAAACAGTAATATTATAATTAATTATAGTTTGTAATGTCATTTTATAGATGACTCCTAAGTTAAGTTTTAAGTCTTATGTGCTAATTCACTCTGGCACTGATGGTTTCTCATGGAAATGCCAATAGTTCAATATGACATGCAGTATACACACCAGGTCATTTTTTTGTAAACACAGAAAATCGTCTTGATATTCTATTGGGTTTACGAAGTGAAATGCAGGCACTTTATGCTTTTCAAAAGCATTGAAAGTTGGGACAATATTGTAAACTACAATAAATTTTACCAAATTGAGTGTTGGAATTGGGTTCAAGTTCAGCAAGGTGTTTCCAAGCTACTTGTGTGCTTTCCAGTGGTGCTTTAGCAACATAGAACAAGTTTTCGGAAAATACTTAAAGTTGTTGAGTGACATTTATCACATTTCATCTTGAACTTGGTAAAACATTATTGAACTGCCAAAGTAACTGCTCATTCGATGCATTTTACTAGTACTTTGAATTGGGGATCAGCCTTCAGATGAGTTCCTAACATTGATCTACTTGGTCTCGCTACTCTGTCACTGTGATTAGGCCTGCACAAATTTAAAAAATTATTCTGAGAATTATAGTTATTTTCAGTTTCATACTTAGCTACTATAAGTATTAACCTATTTATTTAATATGATCATTAATTTTCCTTTACCTTTAAAACTACTTCCACATACAATATTGTTTCATATGAATCAATTTATTATATTTCATTTCATCACCTTGCCTTATATCCTTGTCATTGGAATTATAAATACCTTATATATGCCTCAGGTTTACATTTTTTATATCTATAATTATAATTAATTAAAATGTAATCTGAATTTGTTTCCCCAGTTATGGCAGATAAACCTAAGAGGAGGCATTCCAAGCAGAGATTGTTGGAAGATGGCCATGAAAGTGATGGAGTATCCAACCCGAGCTTGGTAAGCTTTTGTTTAATTTAGAGGAATCTGCTAACAATGAAATAATGGTCAATGATATCAAATAAATGCTGATTTTTTATTAATTTTTTTGCAATCAGATGAATTACAGAAGTAAAATTTTGATTTCTTATTTCCCAATTAAATCAAAAGAAAGAATATAATTTTTAAATGTTAAGTATCATACTTTGCAGGATGAGGATGTGGTTGATCAGTATCATGCCTTCTCGCAGTCACAAACAGAAGGAGAAACTTCAACAGCTGAGGTGACATAAATTAACTTTACATTATTAATGAGAAAATGTTTCTTATTATAAAGTGTATATGTGTTCTTTTTTAAAGTCTGTATTTTCAGACAAGAAACTAACCTAATACTGAATAATGAAAATAGCATGATTTATTTGTTAAACATCATATTCAATTATTCAAAAATTTTAGATGATGGAAGAAAATGAAAAAGCAAAAGTTTTAGAAGGAGAATTGAAAACTCGACACAAGCGTAGAAAGCGAGATGTAGGTATATTTAAATACAATTCAGTGATAATTTTTGTTAATTTATTTACATATAATTAATGATGTGTAAACTGTAATTTATAATACTTATGGATGATCTCTAATATCTATTCATATTTATTAATTCTAATGAATTATTCTTTGGCTGAAATGTTTAAAAGCTCTCCAAACTGGTATCACCAAAAGATGACTTAACTGGGGAACTTAAGACAGTAAAATTGGACAGTCGAAAAAAGATTGAGGAGACGGAACAGGAAGATGAACTGGCAGAGGCTCTGGCTGCTGTTGTTGGTTAGTCAGATGTTGTTTACGTCCTGTTTCTTTACCTACATGTAATGATAGTTTTACAGAATCAAGAAAAAAAATTTGTTGCGGGACTTTAAAAAATAGTATCATTCTCTAAATTTGTGGGACTTTTTTAGTTACATGAAATAACTGCTCTTGAAAATTGAGCTAAACACTTTTTTTAATCTAATAAAAACAACCTTAGTTTGACATTTCCATAAATGTACTCACTTGCAGGGGCAGCATCTGTTATCACAGAGGGATCACTACCAGCCGAGGATGAAACAACTATATTGATACCACTGGATTCTGCAGTTCAGGGGGAAACCATTGAGCCTGCTACCCAAGGAGATACTATGGAAACTGTTCCAGATGAGACAGTTACAACACTAGAGACTAGTGCTATTAGTATGTTATTCAACTTAACTATGATGTTGAACTATTTAGCTCTTTTAAACAAATTGTACTTTTCACATACACTTTGTTTACGTCATTAGTTTTTCATCATCATTAAAATTATTTACAGAAGAGGAAGAAGCAGAAACTGAAGAAAAACCTGCCACAGATAGGCGAAGATCAACTATAAGAGAAAGAATGAAAATTCGACTAGCTAAAGCCAAGGTTAACATCATTGCTTTGTTCCTTCTTCAACTGTTTTATAATTTTAATTTATTTCTCTATTTACCTGGTTTAACCATTTAAAACAGTGGGTCTCAACCTTTCTAATGCCGCGACCCATTAATACAGTTCCTCATGTTGTGGCGACCCCAACCACAAAATTGTTTTCGTTGCTACTTCATAAGTGTAGACTATATGTGTTTTCGGATGGTCTTAGATGACCCCTTTAAAATGTCGTTCACCCCCCCCCCCCCCAAAAGGGGTCCCCACCACAAAATTGTTTTCGTTGCTACTTCAAAAGTGTAGACTATATGTGTTTTCGGATGGTCTTAGATGCCCCCTTTAAAATGTCGTTCCCCCCCCCCCCCCCCAAAAGGGGTCGCAACCCACACGTTGAGAATTGCTGATTATAAAGATAATACTACTGATATTCCAGTGATAGGATCAGGGTTTGTCTATTTTATTTAAAGATGAGAAGTAAAGCCTTCACTGCAAAGAAAGTGCAGGATCTCGAAATATTGACCACAGTTTCCACACATTTTAATAAACTCATGAAATGTTGTTGATTTTGTGCCTCCACACTTTATCGCACTTCATTTATAATTTACTACCCTTGCTTATGATCAGTTCCAACATTAATTCTTGTTTTTATACTTGGATGCTGGAATGTGGTGAAAAGCAAATAATGGATAGAGGTGCCTTTTAAAAAACGAGAGCAAATTAATTCATCATTTAAAAAAGAACCAAAAAAATCTAGAACAAGAAAACTAAACAAAAATCTGGAATTTTTCCTTAGCAGCTATTTAACAAATAATATACTTGTGCCTTTCAAAATCTAGGAATAGTATTTTAAGAGTTCCCATAATTTCTTGAAGTATGGCGTGAATCATAGGCTGAGTTGGGTGACTTGAGGGTCACTTTCCTGGATTGTGATTGGCACATGACAGTGTGAGTGAGGAGACCACAGACATTGTCAGCTGCAATAACATCTTAATTTACCTTCATTCATTAGGAGGAAGAAGAAGTGGAGCTTGAGAAGCAAGAAAGAAGTGAAAGAAAGAAAACTCTAAGGAAAGAAACTAGATTTGAGGAGGTCAGTGAGCTGACATTTTCATTTTCCATTTTTTTTGTGTCTTAGCTTCTTAATCCGTAACATTATTAGATATAGTGATTTCTTTTCAATTTTACCTGTTATGCCTAAAGTTGATGCGGTTTTTTTAACCTATAAAATGACTATTGTTTAACTGTAGTCATATTTAAAATATTAATGTGTCCATTAAGTCATCAATGTGCATATAAATGTTTGTTGTAATTATTAATTTCTAATAATTTTTTACAAAATCTTCCATGTGTTGTTATGTAGTTGATGCTTTTAATTTCATTAAACTTTCAGGGTGATTACGAACAGGTATCTCGTAATGTCATATTGTTCTCTTCTCTTGTTTTGTTCTATGCATGTAGCAGTAAAGAGTATTAACATTCAGCCATGAATGACATTGATAAATATTTACATTAAATTTTAAAAAATGATAGTTATTAATGATATTTGATATCATCTTTCCCAAAAGGGTGACTAAACATTCTAAAAACACCACAATATACCATGATAATTGTTTTGTAAAGAATACTTCTTCAAAGATTCAAAATTATAATGCTGGCTTGAAATGATTAAATTATAGACCATTGGAAGTAATCTGTTATCTATCACCTATTTCCTGTGTGCATACTGAAAAGAAATCCACCAGCATCAGCTGAGATGAATATTTTTAAAAAAAGACTCACTGTTGTACTTATTGTTTTATTGCATGATGAATTCCTCTCACTTATCGAGCATCTTTCCTTAAATCAAATGATAAACTTGCCTATAAATGCAAGTTTGTGTTAAAAAAAATATGCATGATATTCTCTGTTGTATGTTTTC